TTGTTCAAAGCAGGACAGTGTCTGGGTGGAATATAATTACCTGGACAGTGTTGTTCAAAGCAGGACAGTGTCTGGGTAGAGTTGGTGGCTCCACCTGCACATAGCGCCAGTTCACTGGGCAGATTTGGATCATGACAAGTACGATTTCTAAAGGAGGTTCCTGTACCACAGGTCACAGAGCAGCTACTCCAGGCTCCCCAGCCTAGCCAGCTCCCTCCAACTGGATGGAGAAATGTATAATACTTGGTCAAAAATTATCAATCAAATTTCCAAACACTATTCTTCACTACCCATACCTTCAATATAATGGTTCTCAGATGTTTGAACTATGGATATTATTTCAAAATAATGAATCTTGCACATGTAACATTATATTGGCAGACATAAAGTGCTATGAAAAAAGGAGGAGTTTTCCACCATATTCTTACAGTCGCAGATAGGGGGTGAGCCGCTCCAATTTCCATCAGTTAGACATGTCCTTGTCAGGTCCCCAGATATCAGTGTGTAACCTGTTTGACAGGTGTAATTTATTACGTCTCCTACCACATTCCAGTCCAGTGATTCCAGAGTATTTGGAGGAGTGCTGGGAAATTCACAACCTGTAGGAGCTAAAATCACATAAACAGCAATAGAACAGATGTCTATATACAAATAATTACAAAGCAATCTGCTGCCAACACAGCCAGTTTCATTGAATACACCTGATACTGTAGTAGGAGTGGTAATATCACTCCTCTTCATTAACTAAATTCTTTCAAAAGTCAGAAATATTTGAATACAAAGGGGTCATCCACTTTAATCACAACTTTCAAAAGTCTACAACCTTACATTGGGGGTTGGGGCTGGGGGAGGTGAAATTCCCTCTGTAAGCATTTGGTAAAATGATTAAAATCATGATCTTCATCAGCAGGGATGTGTTGACAAAGATTATAGCCTTTTTTACCTTTTCACCTTGTAACTCTCTGAAGCAGTGGTGGTGGTGGTTGGGGTGGGGGTGGGGGGGGGGAGTCTGCAAAATGTCTAGATTGTAAAAATGATTACAAAAACACATAGCCCCTTAGCTAAAATATGATAATATTTACGGGTAGCCCAAGGAAAATAATCTAAACATCAGGGCAAATACATGCAAAACAGACTGATGGTAGAAGAAAAATGGATGAAAATTTTAATATATTACAAATAATAATCAAATTTCAATTTGAGCCCCACCTGTTTTTTCACATATATAAAAGAGATATTGATTACAGTCATCCCTTATCCACTGGAAGGAGACACTGCTATCTAAATAGAAACAGGGAGCTGTGTCTGTGTGAACACAAGTAGGGCACATGTTGCTGTACGTTACTGGTGACTTGGTTCCAGAGAAGTCCTGCCATGACATAACATTAGTAAAACTCACACGCAGACCTATCCAATACCTAGGATGTTGTCCATGACTGGGAGGTGGTGGCCTGGAGAGGAAGAAGAGAGAATGGTTCTTTTTTTTCTTTTAAGACTTAATTTTTATCACTTACTGTTATGATGGTTAAACAAGGCAGTAAAGCTGGCAAATTACCAGACAAAAGCAAAAAAAGGGTAATTTTGTCAATTTTAATAATGGTTTTATACACATAAGGTAACAGAGATATTAAGAATATGAAACTAGAAAAAGGCTTCAGCCCCCATAAGAGTTCAAATTCATATATAAAAAAGGCCAGAATGACAAAATTAAAAATTTTACAAAAACTGCATATAGGTTCAAGAAAAATAATCTATCAAGCTGAAATCATTCTGAGCTGTATGACAATCCTAAGAATCATTCTTTAGAGTTAGAAAATAATAACCAACGGTTTTCCTTTTATAGAATTTGTGGTGGCACTGCAGTTTTTTCTCACTTTTGCAATAACACATTACGATTAACAGCATAATCACCAGAAGTTTTTAGTTGTGTAATATATATGTAATATATATAACCACACCAAGTCATTTAGGGGCAAATAAAAAAAATGCTGTAGAAACTGAGCTATCTAAATATACTTGGAAATTAAAAGAAAGTAACATTCAGTATGACATTAGGAGGGATGTCATAAAAAACCTGTGCTACAAAGGAGAAATCAATACCTATGCAACCTTTGCCTGGAGAAAAAAACTGCTAATAATGATGCAGGAGATCAGGAAAGTGAAGCTGACCTATTTTAGCAGTGATCTTGGAAAAGCTCTACAAATACATCAAAAAGGTAACAATATAGAGAACTTCATGAAATATTTTCATGACTAAAAAAACTATAAGCATACCAGGAATCCACATGTAAAAACTCTCAGCTGTAGTTTGCTGTATTGTGACAAAAGTGACTAAAACTGGTGTGGATCTTTCACTCTCTTTGTTCTGGAAAAACAAGATGGCAGCCCTCATACTTTCAAGGATTATTTTAAGCTGGTTGCAGTGTATCAAAAAGTCTAGATCTAGACCTCTTCAAGTGCAATGAAACTCCTATTTAACCTTAAGAAAAGCAGCTTATATATTCCAAAAGAAAATTTTGGCAAAAAAAAAAAAAGGGATCTAACAGCCGTCCTAAACGTGCATTGAAATCTAAGCAAAACCCTGAATTTGTTTATGACTTACCATCATTACCAATGCAAATGCCGAAATCTCCAGGAAACAAGAAGAAGACTGTACATAAACTTATATGCTCCAAAACCCTGAATCTATACTTTGACAGAAAAGTTAGATGCAATTCTGAAAATATTGAATTTGAAGAGGACATTATTTGCAATGCAAAATTCCATACTACAAGACTGATACAGTGGGAAAATACTGCCAAAAATTTATTTCCAAAGAAAGTTTGAAAACAAAGAGTTGTCTTCACACCCAGTATACCAGAAAACAGATGGAGGCTTTCACCTAAAGATGCAGACCACAAAGGAAGATGGAACTGAAATTACATATGCTGTGCTGAGCTTTTGCACCAACAAAGGAATTATTGTTGCAAATAGTGCCAAATTTGTGGACTTTGTAGAAAATGACTTTCCGAATATCAAATTACTTGTTGACGAGACAGAGCAAACAAAAAAATGTGCGTGAAGAACTTAGAAGCAGATCTCAGCCACCCTTGTTGCCCAGCCTCTCCCCCTCTGGAGTTTCTACCCAGGGGAGACACTGATATGGAAACAACACCATCTACCTATGATGCCACTATCAACCATGACAATTTGACCCCCCTACCAGCTTCACTTGATCTCAGTGAATCAGACCACGAACATTTGATGGATTTTGATAATATCGAACAAAATGAGATTGAAAATATTGATTTGGTACTATAAACAGTCCTCATATAGCAGTGAAGAAAATCAATGAACATCACGAACAACTACAAAAAGAAAGAACATGTAGCTCAACTTCAATCTGCAAAAACAAGTCACCCTACTACATTTACTAAGGCAAAAAGAAACTCAAGAAGTAGAAAATGGAAACCTTATCAAAGAAAAGGAACAACACGAAAGCCAGATTTATGAATTGAGGAAACAATTACATGCAGCAATAGAGGAAAAAGACATTTTGAAAGCCTTTCTCAGCTTGGAAGGCAACCCCAGTACTCAAACTCAGTCGTCATCCCCAGAACAGCCAGTGGACATAGCCATTAAACACAGCTGCCAACCCCTAGAACAGTCGGTGGACACAGCCGTCAAACACAGCTGCCATCCTCTAGCACAGACTCCAGACAGAAAACCTACCTTATCATAGGGGACTCCATGATAAGAAACTCCCGTTCTCAAATAACTCAGCAAAGTGAAAACACATCTTTTAATGTTTATTATGGGTAATTTATTTTCCAAATATAGTATAGATCACTTTTTTGTCATATGGCTTTTATAATGTTTATAGCAACCAACTGCATTATGGGAATGTCTTTTTCCAAATATGGTACTGGATAATTTTTTAACCACTGGATTACTATCATGCTTTTTTATCCAGCCTTTGAGAAACACAAATTTATACAGAGGATAACTATCCAGAGGATAAGAGATTTATACCATGGATAGCATTATCCATAGGATAGCCTATCCAGCCTTGATAAAACCAGGCCCAGAATGCTTACCCAGCTTGGTTTTATTTAACTACCACTATTAAGGTTTCTTTTGGAACCAGCTTCGTCTCCACGAGAACAACATACCTGTACAGCATTTAAGATGTTTCTCACACAAAGACCTGGTGCAGCTTTGTCATTGGCATTTTCTTTTTATTGTTTACTACTATCACTAAACTGAGAAAGCAATTATGCTACAGCGCATTTTCATGAATAAAATCACTGAGCCTCCAAATGAAAAGACAAGTGTGATAGAGAAAAGTGTGATATATATATATAGAGAGAGATTTTTAGTCTGAATTGGGAGATGGATAGATATGTCCCCAAATTAGGGAGACCCACGACAAGATCAGGAGAGTTTACTGGTATGGGCCACAGACTGATTGGCATTTGTGAAATTCTTAGAAACTACAAAAAAAAAAAAAAAAACTCCATCAAATTTAAAAAATAGATAGTAAGAAGCAAACAAAACAATGAGAGGACGTGTTTGGAAGGTCTACATTCATCCTACAGCAAGGTGCAATACTGTCTAGTTAAAAGCTTTTCATAAAGTCAGATTATAACGCACATCAATTTTCTTCCTGTCGCATTTGGCAAGGACGAACTCCCATCTCAGGGTCAACCGATGAATAATACGCTTCTCCTCTGTTTGCTAAGTCCCTGTGGAAGTTCACATCGCTATTGTTTGCTACCCGCACAATATATATATTGTCAGCTTATGCACGTTTATAAACACAATGTGTCTCTAAGGGGCATGAGTACAGAATAGATATGTTTATAAATTAATGAATATGTATTGTTGCGCGACTTATATGGGATCAATATGGGATGGAAATTGCACATAAATGTAAATATTGAGCAAAAATGTTCATTAACTTGGTAGTTGGATCATACATGAAAATTATCAAACACAAGCCTAAAAATGTCCGTACCGTTAGATTACGGCCAACCTGGTCGAAGGCCTTCATCAGACCGATGTGAGTAGTTGTTTACACTCATTGACCGCTAGTTTAGGTGGTATAGCGGCCAGGACCCTCTTATATATTTTTAGGCTTGTGTTTGATAACTTTCATGTATGAAATGTAAATATTGTTTATCCATGTGAGGTCTTAAAGCCTCTTTCCTTCTTGTACAAAGTCCAAAGGTTGTGCAACCAAGTGCATTAATTCGTAGCATCTTTTTTGTGGAAGAAATTTTTCCTCTAATTTCTTTTTATTATTATCATTTAGCATCTTCATAATGGGCAGCGTCCGCCATATTGACCACAATAACGTTACTCAGTGTCAATTTCCGATTCTGTGTTATAATAAGTGATGCTTTACTTTTGACTTCCCATTGGAAGGTTTTGTGGCCATGTGGCATTTTTTAATTTTTGGTCTACTTTCGACCTTATCAGCTATAATATTCATCGAGTTTTGTGCCGCTCTCTGGCCACACATGCCATGCTTGATCGACAAAAACGAAAGTGAAGAGAAGAGATGCGTAAGTGTTTAAAAACAAAATAGAATTAAGATCGCTTAAAGCNTAGCGGCCAGGACCCTCTTATATATTTTTAGGCTTGTGTTTGATAACTTTCATGTATGAAATGTAAATATTGTTTATCCATGTGAGGTCTTAAAGCCTCTTTCCTTCTTGTACAAAGTCCAAAGGTTGTGCAACCAAGTGCATTAATTCGTAGCATCTTTTTTGTGGAAGAAATTTTTCCTCTAATTTCTTTTTATTATTATCATTTAGCATCTTCATAATGGGCAGCGTCCGCCATATTGACCACAATAACGTTACTCAGTGTCAATTTCCGATTCTGTGTTATAATAAGTGATGCTTTACTTTTGACTTCCCATTGGAAGGTTTTGTGGCCATGTGGCATTTTTTAATTTTTGGTCTACTTTCGACCTTATCAGCTATAATATTCATCGAGTTTTGTGCCGCTCTCTGGCCACACATGCCATGCTTGATCGACAAAAACGAAAGTGAAGAGAAGAGATGCGTAAGTGTTTAAAAACAAAATAGAATTAAGATCGCTTAAAGCATCACTTGTCATTATATAGTTCAACAAGAAGTGGTATAAGCACTTAAAAAAAAAATCTTACGTTCTGTCCCCTTCATTTAATGAACATACGTACGTTACTACAGCTTCCAGTGCTGCCTGTAAGTCTTCAGTCTTTGGCATGGCTAGGAGTGCATCCATATCAAAGCAACTCCATGTTGCAGCACTCATACCCTCTTGCCTACTGGACACATTATAACATCTCCCTATGATATTGTATATCCATCCACTGGGGCAGGGAGAGGAGGAAACACCATCTAAAGTGAAAAAT